AACATTTGTTCCAGAATCAACAAAGTGTCTGCATTAATTCACAGAGTTTCCAAGCATGAATCAAATAATCAAGAGAATAATTTTCAACTAATAAAAGAGCAAAATAAAAGATGCTGATAGAATCGAATTTACATATATCCTATATGTAGTTTTTCAAGAAAAAAATAAAACATAAGAGCAAAAAAGAAAATAATCCGTGTAAATGTTTACACGCTAAAGTGCCGGAAATATATTTTCGCACATATAGTAAAAGAGGAATCACGTTAAAACCATTGAAAGATGTGTGCTAGAGATTAGATTAGTTTTGACAATTATATATAGGAAATATAATCGAGCACCTTCATCGTCCGGCGGGACTCGCTCTCGTCGGCACCCATGACGGCAACACGAGTCGTCACTATATATATATATATAAAACTGGTCGCATAATCGTACAATCTCTTAGACTTGTTTCGTGTTCAGTTATACACGGTGAACGAAAGCCAACGAATGTTTTAGCAAACGCACGCCTCATTATGCATGTATATGCGCTGCATATGGTTCTCATAGCTAATTGCCTGTCCCGCGTGCTTCCATTCGGATAAATTATAACCTTTAGGCCTCTCTCACTCCCACCCTCTCTGAAGAATATTCCGATGAGCAAAACTCATCTTTTTTAAAATGAATAATCCCCATTTAGAAAAAAGAAGAAGAAGAAGAAGGAAAAAAAACTCTTCCTTCCTGAAAGAGATAGTTTAATGGTAATTTACACACTGACCCCATATATTTCTATAGAAAAGAATAATTTGTTTTAACTTTTCTTTCATTTTGTGCGGACAATAAAAAAAAGTATACTTGAGGAATTATAAGGATGATGATTACACTATACTGGCAACTACTGTCTTAATAATAATTGTCCGGTGACTTGACTGATGCAGGAATTAATCATTTTATTAGTAGTTAACAGATAACGATATTCAGACGCAGTGCATGTAATTAGAATTTGAAATGACTCTCGATCAAAATGAGGTTGTAATTTGTAGCGGAAATGGAATTCAAGCTTGGTATATATGGTTTTAATTTGCTTTATTCACGACATTTATATGTTTTTATTTAAATTGTCACTTTATTGCAAGAGTTGTTATCAAAAATAAGTTGTATAGTAAAAATCATTAAGAGAAAATTATTTAATAATTAACACTGACATTATTTTGAAATGTGATCAATCGGACTAGGAAATTTATAAGATTTTTCAATTATTGATTAAAATTTACTTTTTGCTATTTTATTTTATATTTCTATTTTATTTAATTTATTTTATTTTACTGATGATGAATGACTGATAGACGAATATGATTTAATCGAAGAATATTTTGTTGACAATCAGATAGAATATGATTGACCAATGAAAGAATCCACCTGATCAGTGGATGGAAGGAATCAGTCAACTGATTAAGTGATGGAATTCAATGATTGATTCAATAGACGAAACTAAGTTTTTGATTCAATCATTGAAACCAACTGATTGATTTAAAGGGTCAAAATAAGTTCTTGATTCAATTGATAAAAACCAATTGATGGAAGAATCCAACTTCTAGATTCAACCACCGGAATAAAGTTTTTAATTCAATAGTCAAAAACAAGTTTTTGATTATATCACTGGAATAAAGTTGATTAGTTCAACGGATGAAACTAAATTTTTTATTCAGTTATTAGAATCAAGTTATTGATTCAACGGCTCAAAAGAGATTGTTAATTCAATTAACAAACTCATGTGATCAACTTAATCAATGAAAACAATTAACTAATCAATTGATGGAATAAAGCGATTGATTTAATGGAGGAAACTAAGCTTTTGATTCAATCATTAGATCCAAGTGATTGATTCAACGGATCAAAATAAGTTCTCTGTTCAAAAGATGGAAACAAGTTTTTAATTCAGTCAATGGATCAGTTAACTGATCAAGTGATGGAATCTGGATATTAGTTTAATGAATAAAACAAAATTTTTTATTCAGTTATTGATTAAACGGATCAAACGAGGTTGTTGATTCTATTAATGGAATCATGTGACTGATTCAATCAATAGAATCAGTTAACTGATGATCAAGTAATGGAATCAACTAATTGATTCAAAGCATGGAATTTAATTCTTGATTCATTTATTGGAATCATGTTATTGACTCAACTGATCAAACCAAATTGTTGATTCAATCAAAGGGTTCAAGGGCTTCATTCAATCGATGGAATCAAATAATTGATTTAATTAAATTATTCAAGTAATCGATTCAAACGATGGAATCAAGGGATTAATTTAATTAATGTCTTTAAGTGGTCGATTCAAATGATTGAATCAAGTAATTGATTTAATGCATAAAGAAAAATTCTTGATTCAATCGCTGGAATCAAGTGATTGATTCAATTGATGTAATCAAGTTCTTGAATGGAATCAAATCAAACCTGATGAAATTAAAGGATTAATTCAACTAGTGAAATCATTTGATTGATGAAGTTGATGAAATTGATGAAATCAAGTGCTTCATTCAATTGATGGAAGCAGCTAATTGATTCTATTGATGAAATGAAATGATTGGTGTGATTCATGAAACTAATTGATTGATTGAACTGATGGAATAAATAATTTAATGGGTTATTGAAATATTTGGATGTTTCTCAAATAGAATTTATTAGTTGATCATTACTAAATGATTCATTTGCAGATTATCCGAAGAGTTCAGTTCTTTGATCAAATGATACAATTATTTATTAAATTAATTAATTTAATAGTAAATTGATTGACGAATATGCAATCGATTTAAAATTGATTAATTTGTTATTTATTCAATTAATTAACTTGCCATTGATTCAATCGATTACTTTATTAATTGATTAATTTAATTATCCAATCGATTAAATTCATTAAATTAATGAATCTTCCAATTGATTAAATTGATGAATCTTCCAGTTGATTCAAATGACTAGTCATTCAATTGATTCAAATAATTGATTAAATTGATAAATCTTCCAATTGATGGGAATGACTAGTCATCCAATTGATTCAATTGATTAATCATCCGAATGATTCAAATGATTAAATTAATGAATCTTCCAATTGATTCAATTGACTAGTCACCTAATTGATTCAACTGATTAATCATCAAATTAATTAAATTAATGAACCTTTCAATTGATTCAATATTGATTAATCATCAAGTTGTTTCACCAAGTTGATCAAAAAGAGAATAGTGTCCAACAGCTTACAATTGGTTGATCATCCGAACGAATCAATGAGCCAACAGACAATTATTTCAAAAATGGAGTTTTAGTGTAATTTAAATGAATAGTAGACAATTTATTCCTTTAAAATTAATTTAAAGTACAAGTCTACTTTTCGTGTTATAATAAAGTACTCGATTAATTGTCCGACGGAATTAGATTTTGATCAACAGTTTAAATCACTTTAGTTCCAAATACTAGAATGAATTACTTAATTATCTGGTAAAATCGATTAATTGATCATGTGTGGAACTTATTTGATGATCAACCAACAAACGATCATTGATCGAAATTATTATTGATAGTCAATAATATTTGATAATCAATTGTTTAAACAACCAATAGGTTTAATTTAATCAATAAATTTTGATAAAAAAGGCTTTTGACAGGAAGGCTATTTTTCACATTGATCACGATTTTAATCAATTATTATAAATAATTAAATTAAATTAGTTAATCAAACTTCATTAAGTTATATGTTTTCCAGACTGAAGTACTTGTACAATAGTCACTTCTTAGTACAAATTTAATAGTTTGTTTTTGTACAAAAAAATTATTTTAAATTATACATATTCAAAAAAATTGAAATTTTATTTAAAAGAATTAGAAACAAAAAGAAAAGAGGAAAAAAACAATTAAAGTAAGAAAACTTTCAATTGTGTTCGATCTTATCGACTTCGATAGTCTGTCCGACGGAATCAGTCATTTTAGCAAATATTAAAATTTCTTAAGTTTATCATTCAAGAGAATCAATTAAAATACTTTTAGTTTGTTGATAAATTATTTAAATCAATCAGCTGATCAACTTTTGGATTATTTAGTTGATTAGATTCTGGATTGTTCACTTGATAAACATGTGGATTATTTAGTTGAACTTGTGGATTCTTCAATTGTTAAACTTTTGGATTCTTTGCTTGATCAACTTTCAGATTACTTAGTTGATCAACTTTTAGTTTCTTTGGTTGATCAACTTTCGGATCACTTAGTTAATCAACTTTTGAATTATTTACTTGATCAACATATGAATTATTTAATTAAACCTATATGAGTTATTTAATTAAACCTATGAATTATTTAATTAAACTTGTGAATTATTCAATTTATCAACATTTGGACTATTTAGTTGATCAACTTGTGGATTATTTAATTAATAACATTTTGGATTCTTTAGTTGATCAACTAATAAATTATTTAATTTATCAACTTTAGGATCTATTTGTTAGACTCATTAACCAAAAGAATTGACTTCTTTTTGAACTATTTAATTTTTTTTCGTCTAGAATCTAAATATATTAATTAACGAATTAAATCCGCTATTGAATCAAACAAAGCAAATTGTATATTTTTGATAATAAAATAGAATCAATTCATTTGAGGATAAAATGAACCAGTTTAAATGGATCAGTTCGAAGATAGAATGAATTAGACAGAAGACAGAATGAAGCAGATAGAGGACGATTGATTTGACTAACTGATTATTCAGTTAGACATAATCAGAAAAATTGTCAATTAGGTAGCAGATAATGAATCAAATTAAGGATAGAATTTCTAGATGAAATTACTTATACTTAATCAGATGGAATCAATAATGAATCAATGATCATAAAAATCATGTTCCAATGGAACATGACAAGGAATGTAATAAACTTATAGTTAACAATTGGTAACAAATTAGATATTGCTTCTAATTAATTTTTCAATGCAGTGACAGCAAGAAATAATAGAAATAAAAGTATGAGACTCACCAGAAGAAGGTCTGTCGGAATATCTCGTGCAGTAAACCCAAGCGGGCCAAACCATTTTTCCAGGTTCTGATCCTTGAGTTGTTGTTGTTGTTGTAATACTAGTGGGCGTAGTACTCGTGGGAACTCCTGGCGATGTATTTGTCGTGGAGGCTTCCGAGCCACGTTCAGAACCCTCCGACGACGACTCAAGAAAATCCTTTGTCAAATCAATTGGTCTTGGTATCACCTTTTTAGGACGTGATTTCTTCAGTGAAATTGGATCCGTTATTCTCCTACCGAAATCAGCCTTTAGAATATTGTCTATACTGAACTTTAAACCCGCCTGATGTTGAAGATTATTATTATTATGATTGTCATTATTATTCATTGCATTCGCATTATTTTGATTGCCATTCGAGGAGTTGGTACCACTGCGTCCATTTCCATTCTCCTCTCTTGGCTTTGGTGAAACACTTTCATGATCACGTTGAAGTATTTTACTGACTGATAAACGATGCTGCTGATGAATTGCGCTTGCGGGTACGTGTTGTATTTGGGAATTTGGATGATGATGGTGATGGTGATGATGACCGTGGGAATTTGATAGTCCATGATGGATGCTGTGAGGGGGATGGGGCATCAGGGTTTCACGAGGATGTAAAACGGGCGTCGATGCCTGTAGGCCGGTGACCGTCATAGCGGATGGTGGCGATAGGGAGATTCTGGTCACTAAGGGAACGCTGATTGGCGTTCTATGCAACCTCTCCACCGATGGATAAATGATCTCATGAGTCAAACTGTGCGGTACTCGTGGTGGATAATCGGCAAGATCGGCTGAATCCCTGGCGAACCTCGAGAGTAAATGTTGATGAGCTGATTGATATCGGGAGAGTATCGTCTCCTGAGGAAGATCTGGTCGACCTGGAGAGGATGCAGTGGCACTCGAGGACGCCGGCGATCGTACGGATGATGCGGTGGGTGATGATGGCGGTTGACTGTAGGCAGGTGGACTTGGTGCCTGAATTGGATTATTCGATGAACGATTATTGTAATAGGGATCGTTGCAGCTGATTGAACTCGATGGCGATGGTGTGCACGATATCCTCGTGTTCTCCTCATCGTGGAATTCGGTACGACTAGTTTCTTCATATTTCGCGGAATTATTACAGTCACGGAATTCGGTGAGTGTGGGCGGCGGTTCACTGCCAACACTGAGAACCTCACTGGTATCACTCTCGCAATCGCTGTCGGCGTTTGTCGAACGACACTTTGTCTCCTTATCGTCGCGCAACACTGTCTTATTGTTGCTACCGGGGTGTCCTAATCCATCGAACCCTGATGCTGGTGATACCTCGGTTGAGCCGCTTGACATATTTGAGGTGTGTACAGTTCCACGAACTCTTGGCGGAGCTCGTGTGGTTTATAGTGCGAACCCTCTGTTCAGAGGCGACGCAATCGTGTTTTCATTCTGGATTTTTTTTTATTAGCTGATCCTCTTCCGTCGCCTCATTGAAGTACTCGAAAACATCCGATCGAGATTGATGGGGAATTTAAATTGTGAATAGCATCATGTCATCAGTTTGTAATTATTATAATTGCACTAATTATTCCGTGTCATTGGTATTTTATTCCGAATCATTGTTAATTTATTCCGAATATGGTTCTTGGATTTTTTTTTCATGGACTTGAAACTGTAAATGGAAATTGAAGAAAAACTGTTAGGGAACACTTTTAGTTATCACTGATATTGAACACTGATAACGTCAATTGAAAATGAACACCGCGATTCTCGATTTGGACCACGGGAAGAGCCGGTTAGACGCAGGATTTGACCTGCTGTGTTGGGGCCGGCTAAGTTGTCCAGTTGGTTGCCGCGACGCGTCTGCAGTGTAGAGACTGTAGAGGGCCGGCTAGGGGCGTTTCGAGGCGGTATCAAGGTCAGTCAAGCCCCAATTTGGCGGGGAGAAGATGTCGGTGGGTGCAACCGCTAGACATCTGGTGAGTGGCGAACGAATAATCACGAAAGACACGCCCCCAGTGCTCCCTGGGTTCCGGGGGTTAAGATATCCCCCAGTTCCACATGTCAGCGAGGCTGCAAAAAAAGGGCGGTTCCTTCTCTACCTTTACCTTCCTGCAAAACTGGATGGACTCCCCTCTGATCCCTTGCTCTCTTTCTCTATCCTTCTCTCTCCCTCGCTCACTCCCTTTCGCTCTCTCCATTCCCCCTTTTCTCCCTCTCTCCTTCTCGCTCGCAATTTCAATCTCTCCTCCCGCATCGATTAAGTCGCCTCCCTCTCCAATCCCCTCTTTCTACTTTCATTCCACGTAACGTCTAATCGTCAAGTCCCTCTTTTTCTCCACCCAAATTCCCCCTTATCGCTCTACCTTCTTCTTCTTCAGCTTCTCCACCTCCTCCCGCTCTGCACTGCAGGTATTCTCAGAGGCTTCTCTTCGTCTTTTGATGCTCCTTATGCTGTTCACTGCCTCTTTACTTTACGCAGTGTTAATGCATCCACACGTACGCAATCTAAAGTTTCATCCAAACGTTCGACGATTATAACTGGCTTATCGCGTCCGACACAACACGGGGGGGAATTCTTCCTGTGGTGATGGAGTCACATCCATAAGGCCTCTCTTACTCTCTTATATATATATACACACCTTGATTCAGTGGGAGATCAAATTAATATCCTGATGATGATGATCAAGATTGCGCTTTTGTTTTACGATTCAACGATATCGGCACAGACAGTTTGAGAGGGGAGGGAAAAATTAATAAGAAATCCTACTGATATATTTCTTCTTCTTCCTCTTTGATATATTTCTATTGTTGTTGATCTTGAGATGTGTTGTTCGCAGTTGATCAATTCTCGCGATCTGAAACTATGGTAGTGTGTTGTGAGCTTTTCTGCTAAGAGTTCTTCTTTTTCTGATTTGTGAATTTTTATGTTTTGAAGAATAAAGCAATTTTTATTCTGTATTGCTGATTTTAAAAACTGTTCTTCAATTATCAATTTCCCCTTATCTAAATCTTAATCTACTGATGATGACAAAAAAAGATCTTTTTGTGAAAGTTTTTTATGTTGCTGCTGTTTTCTGATCTGTTGATCATACTCTGCACTCGATTAGTGTTTATCCGTCAAATTTTTGTTCAATTGATTAAATCTCTCTCGATCCGAATAATTAGTTGGTGTCCTCTTTACATGCTTTGGTTAAACTTATTCTATTTCTGTTCATCTGGAAAAGTTTTTCAGTATAGCTTTTTATCTTTAAAATTTCTTCTGTGGATTACTTTTTTTGTTCTGCAATTTGTTAGTGTCTTCTTTATGCTATTAGTGAAAAGATCTTTTTGAAAAAGTTTTTAATATTGCTGCTGTCTTGTGAGCTGTCTTCTGCTGTCCCTTCTGATCCCGCACTCACTCTACTATATTTATTCTGTAGAAACCCAACATTATATTAATTCTGAAAATTGTTGATCAGTTGATTAATTCACAGTTGGTGTCCTTTTTCCACTTCTGATCGAATTCATTCTATTCCCGCATTGATCTCGAAAAATATTCTCCATAGTTGATGAATTCTCTTGATCTGTATCTGCGTCGCTTTGCAAAAAAAACTTCTTGACGCTGCCGATTTTGATCTTTTGATTATACTTTTCATTTTATATTATTGTTGATTTTGAAAAATGTTCTCCAATTGATCAATTCCTTTTATCTGTTGCTGTTGGTGTGCAAAAAAATTATTTTATAGTTGATGACTTTTGATTTTTTGGTTCTTTTTTATCTCTATTTATCTCTATTTCTCGTTCTTCTCATCATTATTTCATTTCCATTGTTCCGAACCTAGAGAATAAATGTTGTTTTTGTTATTTCGAAAAATTTTACTTGTTTTTTCTGTTGTCTTTGCTCTTATGATAACACTCTTTCCATCATTTTCGATTTAAAAAATTTTTCCTGTTCCCACTGTTATTGCTCACTCCATTCTTGTGGATCTTAAAAATAATTCTCCACTTGATCATTTATTTCCTTGATATTAAGCTCTTGGATAGCAGAAAAAACCATTTTTTTGATGCTGCTCTGTTTGATACTTTCAACATCTTCACTCTATTGTTACTTATCTTGAAAAATGTTGCTCTATTCTCATTATTTCCTTCGATCTATTATAATATCAAAATTATATTTCTCAGCTTCTTTTGTACATCAGAATAAATACCCTGAAGGACCACAGGGAATAAATAAATAAATATCAAGTATTCTATACTAATTTCGAATTAGACAGAATTTTAAAATTCGAGGGGATCGAAAATTCTCCGAAAGGAGCATTTTTACATATATATGATAATAAAAAAGCCTTGTGAATCTTAGGTGAATTGTATATATGTATACATATATATTTGCACACACATATATACATGATGTCCATATACACCAAAAAAAAGCGATGCATATATTCAAGCAAAATGCATTTGACAGCTTGCGGGCTAGCGTGCACAAGAGTCGTGCATCACTTATTCATTTTTCGCCAAAGGTTCAACGCGTCAACGCGTTTCGCCAAGACGATCGTTAAGACTCATTATACAGCAGTCTTAGCTTGGATAGTTGCGCTGCGAAAAAATATTATGAACTATAAATCTCCTTTGCTCGAGCATAAGCCATATTCCCTCCTCTCAATTTCAACGTGTCTTGTGTGTCTGCGCGAACATTTTTTTTTTTTCGTCTCAACCGCATAAAATATACTAATATTTCTCTATCGTCTTTATATATTGAACGTCCCGCTCTTATTGTTGCGTCTATATAAAACTCCCAACCATAATAACTTACATAGAAGAATATTTTCAAATCTCTATATTATAGAAAAAAAATTAATCTCATAATATGTTTTCAAGAAAAATATATTTTATATTTAGAAATTATTATCGATTTTATTCGGAAATTTATTTTTTCTCTCTGCATAGAAATTCTTTCAGCGAAACTTTCGCATCTCTTTCCGTCGGGAGTTTCGTTTCGAACATGTGCGAACGAATAAGTGAAATTATCAAATTCAATTCTTTGAATACTTTTCAAAGTACATTAGTGTTTTTTTCTCCCCCCCCCCTCCTTACCCCCTTAAAGCCTTACGTTATTGAAAATTCGGCCTTTTAATAAATTACTAATTACATGTTAATTAATATTAATTGATTGCTATTGAATTAATAAGTTATTGTCAATTTAAAAAATGTGTGTATTTGTTTCTGTTAAGTACGTTAAAAATACAATTGAATTGTGTTTAGAGTTTTTCTCACTAAATTTCAAGCTAATCTGAAGTCAATTTCTAAACTTTTAGTCGGCATATTGTTAATTTTAGTCTGCAATTTTGGATTTAAAAAATATCAGATTGGTAATCAGCGACTCTAAAAATCCCCATAAAGTTAAAAAGTTTTACAAAATTAGTTGAGTTTTTAAAAATTCATCCGTCATATTGGATCAGCCATTTTGAATTTTGCAAGTCGGACTTCAAGTATAGGTACATCACCTTTTTCAAAGAAAATCTAAAATATCACTCAAATATTACATGTTTGTAGTTATTTTATTTTCTATAACCTTAATTCTATGATTTGATAAAATTTTGTCAGCTCGTATAATTATTATAATAATATAATAAAAATAAAATGTATATATAAAATATATAATATAAACAAATATTATTAATATTAGTTGAATAAACAATTATTAATAGTTTGATAAATAATTATTATTGACAGTGAAATAAATTTGATATGTTGTGCTATTTGGAAAAATAATAATTATTAATAATAATAACAGTAATGATAATAGCAATTATTTTTAATTTCCCTCTTTATAATTTGATAAGTATCAATAATAAGGATATAATTTTACTATCATCTTAAGAATAAATCTTATACATTCTCTACATATATCTATGTGTCTAAAGAGATTATAAAAAAAATAATTACGTAAAATACAATTATATTGATTGATTGACAAGGTATTTCAAATGAAATTCACATCGCGGACAATTATATATGTGATATTTATTGACGGAAGTGTTTTATGAACGTTCTTCCGTAAATTTATAATATATATAATATTGAAAAGATATATATTGTTGTCATTCGGATTTTCCAAATGAAACGCGCATGTCATCGTATATGCGCTAATATATAAAAAGAAGATGAAAGGAAGAAAAGGAAAGAAGTGTGTGCGGTGTATAATACCCACGAGAGATGTTGTTGCAAAAGGGATATATATACATCTTTTTATCTCGAATCGATTTAACTACCACTTGTCAGTCGTCAGCTGTCGATATGGCAAGAATCGTCATTCTTCAATTGCCAACCCCCCCCCCCTCTCTCTCTCTCTGATCTACTCCATCAAAAGTGGTTTACAGGGGTGACGAAGTACTTTGAAACAGAAGACAACTGAATGGAGGAAACCACTTTTTTCCTGTTTTGACGACAAGAGAGGATGCAGGCAGTTAGCAATATACAGGATGAAGCTACTTCTTTTTATATATATACATATGTATAAATACCTATATATTTAATATATGTTTAACTGCCGCATGCACCGACACTCCTGTTATTACCAAATCTTAATAAATATTACACCGCATACATATATTTTATTATAATAAAGATCAAATGTCCCATTCATTTTCCCATTCACAATTCTTCGTGAACCTTATTATTTAACAATAGACTCGTTATTCAACTGACGATATTATTTCCATCTTCCAAGAAAGCCGTTTGCTTTATATTCGTTTTCTCTTCAGTAGCACTATAAGTATATAATATAAATGCGTGTGAATGTTTTCTTCAAACGAAAACAAGGTATATATATAAAATGCGGATGTCAATTTTTTTCTCCCAATGCTCGTTTATTTATTTCGCTCTCATATAATGTGCGACCATTATAAACTCTCTAAATCAGGAGTGAACGAAAATCTGAAAATTAAGCAATCTAATGCAAATTAATAAAAGTTTCTGTTGTAATTTTAGTTCATTTTTCGATTTATTTAATGTTACAATTTTCAAAAATAAAATTTTTTATTTTTTATTTATAAATCAAAATTTTTTACTACAAAAAGTTGTATATTGAATCCGCCATTTTGAATTTTTAAAATCTGACTTCATATTCGTAAACAGCGACCCCAAACCCCCCCCCCCCTGTGTGGAAATTGCCCGACTTCGCCTTATTTAAAGA